GTCTAGTCTAGTCTAGTCTACTAGTCTAGTCTAGTATATAGTCTAGTCTGTAGTCTAGTATATAGTCTAGTCTATAGTCTAGTCTATAGTCTAGTCTATAGTCTAGTCTATAGTCTAGTCTATAGTCTAGTCTATAGTCTAGTCTATAGTCTAGTCTATAGTCTAGTCTATAGTCTAGTCTATAGTCTAGTCTATAGTCTAGTCTATAGTCTAGTCTATAGTCTAGTCTATAGTCTAGTCTATAGTCTAGTCTATAGTGTAGTCTATAGTTTAGTCCATAGTCTAGTCTATAGTGTGTTATATAGTCTAGTCTATAGTCTAGTCTATAGTCTAGTCTATAGTCTAGTCTATAGTCTAGTCTATAGTCTAGTCTATAGTTTAGTCTATAGTCTAGTCTATAGTCTAGTCTATAGTCTAGTCTATAGTCTGGTCTATAGTCTAGTCTATAGTCTAGTCTATAGTCTAGTCTATATTCTAGTCTATAGTCTAGTCTATAGTCTAGTCTGTAGTCTAGTCTATAGTCTAGTCTATAGTCTAGTCTATAGTTTAGTCTACAGTCTGGTCTATAGTGTAGTCTATAGTGTAGTCTATAGTCTATTCTATAGTCTAGTCTATAGTCTAGTCTATAGTCTAGTCTATAGTCTAGTCTATAGTCTAGTCTATAGTCTAGTCTATAGTCTAGTCTATAGTCTAGTCTATAGTCTAGTCTATAGTCTAGTCTATAGTCTAGTCTATAATCTAGTCTATAGTCTAGTCTATAGTCAAGTCTATAGTCTAGTCTATATTTTAATCATTCTTTCTTAAGGAGAAAACCTATATCGAATGGGATTTGGTGAAGAGAATGCACTATTGAAAAAGTATACACGAGAGATAAGGATTAAGGTCTCAGAGTCAGAATTGGTTCACAGTCTCTCACCTCCGAAGAAGATATTAAATACGAGCATAATCGTCTTAGATTAATTTTGCACACAATGAAATGCAATAAGGCATTTAAATGGACTAACGGTAACCAACCATGTTCGAGTCTCTCGATCCATATTTACTACTTAGGGTTAAAAGAAGCTGTAAGGAAAGATGTAAAAGACTTTTATTCAGATGCAACTTTTGTGATTTAACTAGAGTGATGCTCACTCAGCGTTTCAATCTTACAATAATGATAACGATCCTCTTAGCATGTTAGCAAAAGCAAGTAATCTTCTTCTTTGATATTGAATTTGCAGATCCTCATTAATATTATAATATACTCCCAATATTTTAGATAAGTATATAGGAACCTAGTCTTGGGCCGTTCAACGCAATGTGTACCAAAATAAAGAAGATTAGCGTTCTTCTCAACCATCCATACGCAGTAATCCACTCAGTATACCAACTCGAACTCACAGATGTGGAGGATATAAAGCAGACGTGTGAATGAACGCCACAAGTGACACCAGACCAAAACAAAAACAAGCGAGTGAACAACAAGAAGACAACAATATTCTACGATCGACAAAAAAGTAGAGTAAATACAAGTGATGCTAATGATGAAGCACTAAGAATTTTGGTACCAAATTAAAACAAAATATTAAAAATTAACAAAAAAACTAAATATTTGACGAAAAATCAAAATTTTAAAAATTTAAAAGTTTTGTTTTAGTACCTATTCCTTAAAAAAATAGTACTTTTTTAATACTACATACAAATTGAACCAACTCCATTAACGTTAAATGCAATGAAACTTCAATTCTCTGTTCTGTACTCGTACTCGAATTATGTCACACATATTTTTTTTCTCGTTTCTACCTCTGAGGCAATTAAACTCTTACCGTGTGTGTGCTATTTATTGTTGCCACTGTCGCTGACTTTGCGGCATGCAGTCCAACACCAACAACTCAAGTGTAAATGATAATTAAGTTATAAAGTGCTTCTCTCTGCGTTTGCATTTCATTTCACTTTCCTTTTGAATAAATATGTTTTTCTTGAAATAAAAACAAAAAAAAAAAATTATTGTGTAATTCAGATTTACATATGGGGCGTCTAGTCGAAAACAAAAAAATTAAATTAAAAAATATGTATTGCATTTTAAATTGCCAGAATATGATGATGGCGTCAGTGCATATCATTGCATTAATTTTTTAGTTTTTTTTCCGTTTCTTTTTAAATAAACAAATACTAAAAATTCTGTTAAAGAATGGTCATCATGTGATTTATATTTTTGGGCCGGATATGTAAAGGGCTTATGAAATATAGTGTTGAAAATAAATCATGAGAATTGTCTACTGATATAAAGGGATTAATTGGGGCATATAGATATGTACATATGTACGTTTTCTCAAGTCGGAAAAGTGCTCTTTATATATATCAGGCAACCATAAAACTCGCTCTATATATATATCAGGCAACCATAAACTAACTAACTAACTAACTAACTAACTAACTAACTAACTAACTAACTAACTAACTAACTAACTAACTAACTAACTAACTAACTAACTAACTAACTAACTAACTAACTAACTAACTAACTAACTAACTAACTAACTAACTAACTAACTAACTAACTAACTAACTAACTACTAACTAACTAACTAACTAACTAACTAACTAACTAACTAACTAACTAACTAACTAACTAACTAACTAACTAACTAACTAACTAACTAACTAACTAACTAACTAACTAACTAACTACTAACTAACTAACTAACTAACTAACTAACTAACTAACTAACTAACTAACTAACTACTAACTACTAACTACTAACTAACTAACTAACTAACTAACTAACTAACTAACTAACTAACTAACTAACTAACTAACTAACTAACTAACTAACTAACTACTAACTAACTAACTAACTAACTAACTAACTAACTAACTAACTAACTAACTAACTACTAACTAACTAACTAACTAACTAACTAACTACTAACTAACTAACTAACTAACTAACTAACTAACTAACTAACTAACTACTAACTAACTAACTAACTAACTAACTAACTAACTAACTAACTAACTACTAACTAACTAACTAACTAACTAACTAACTAACTAACTAACTAACTAACTAACTAACTAACTAACTAACTAACTAACTAACTAACTAACTAACTAACTAACTACTAACTAACTAACTAACTAACTAACTAACTAACTAACTAACTAACTAACTAACTAACTAACTAACTAACTAACTAACTAACTAACTAACTAACTAACTAACTAACTAACTAACTAACTAACTAACTAACTAACTAACTAACTACTACTAACTAACTAACTACTAACTAACTACTAACTAACTAACTAACTAACTAACTAACTAACTAACTAACTAACTACTAACTAACTAACTAACTAACTAACTAACTACTAACTAACTAACTAACTAACTAACTAACTAACTAACTAACTAACTAACTAACTAACTAACTAACTAACTAACTAACTAACTAACTAACTAACTAACTAACTAACTAACTAACTAACTAACTAACTAACTAACTAACTAACTAACTAACTAACTAACTACTAACTAACTAACTAACTAACTAACTAACTAACTAACTAACTAACTAACTAACTAACTAACTAACTACTAACTAACTAACTAACTAACTAACTAACTAACTAACTAACTAACTAACTAACTAACTACTAACTAACTACTACTAACTAACTAACTAACTAACTAACTAACTAACTAACTACTAACTAACTAACTAACTAACTAACTAACTAACTAACTAACTAACTAACTAACTAACTAACTAACTAACTAACTAACTAACTAACTAACTAACTAACTAACTAACTAACTACTAACTAACTAACTAACTAACTACTAACTAACTAACTAACTAACTAACTAACTAACTAACTAACTAACTAACTAACTAACTAACTAACTAACTAACTAACTACTAACTAACTAACTAACTAACTAACTAACTACTACTAACTAACTAACTAACTAACTAACTAACTAACTAACTAACTAACTAACTAACTAACTAACTAACTAACTAACTAACTAACTAACTAACTAACTAACTAACTAACTAACTAACTAACTAACTAACTAACTAACTAACTAACTAACTAACTAACTAACTAACAAACTAACTAACTAACTAACTAACTAAACTAACTAACTAACTAACTAACTAACTAACTAACTAACCAACTAACTAACTAACTAAACCCAAAAAGAATGAGAAGTTTCCCAAATTTCGTTCTAGCGCCGCTTCTAACAATAGAGTGCCCATTTGCGTAAACTTCAAGTATGGCTGAGCATGAACTTGTTCAACATGTCAGTTTGTTCGGCATTCCTTTTTATCTCTAGCCCCTACACGAACTTATTTTTAAAGAATATTACATTTCCAAATGGTTGGTCTCACTATACATTCGTCCCTAAAAATTCCGATTCTCCAGTCAAACTTTTAAATTGTTATTCATCCATCAATCAATCAACCAATTAAAATTTTTACAAATAATTGTTATTATCATATATTCAGTTTTGAATTATGGCTTAATAAAACTATAATTTTGTTTACAAAACACGTCCTTATAAATAACTGCTAACAAATTAATTTTAATTACAACAAAATTTTCGCATCAACAAATTATTTTGGCATTGTCCCCCCGAACAATATGTATTTAAATACAATTTTTTTTGCAAATAATTTAAATTGTAATCATAGAATTCCATCTGTATTAACTAAATACCTTCTACAATGTTTACACAACAAACACAATAATATCTGATTATTTCAGATGTCAGTAATTATTTGTAATTTTAGATTTAATTATTAAAAAAACAACTTAAATTTTACTAAATATATTACAGAAAAGTTTTTTCGAGAAAAAAAAAATATATATGTTATTGCTATCAAAACTAAATAATTTTCCCGATCAAACTAAATTGATAAAACAAAATTGGCATGCAATTTGGATAACAAATAAATGACAAATAGTAAATAGAAATAAATTTAAAGTTTTTTTCCATCACCAAAAAAACAACTATAAATAATTGAAAATCTCTATGATTCGATGTCAGTTTCCATTTGAATATTAAAAGTTTATGAAGTTTTGTAAAAATAACTCTTTCTCTTGTGCGTTAAAGTAATCGAAAAAGTTTACAAAATGAAATTCCAGTTGACTGGATTATTAGTGGCAGCTGTCATGTTGATGGTGAGTTTGGTGGAAAGTTGAGTTAAAAGATATAATCCTATATTTAAAATTTTATTTAAAAAAGGCTTGCTCCACTTGCTTGGCTCAAGGCCCAGGAGGTGGTGGTCAAGGCGGTGGTCATGGTGGTGCTCAAGGCGGTGCTCAGGGTGGTGCTCAGGGAGGTATGGGTGTTGGTATGAGTGCTGGTGCCGGAGCCGGTGGCGGTATGGGAGGTGGTGGTGGTAGCGGCATGGGTGGTGGTGGCGGTCCACCTGGTGGTCGACGCCGTTAATTAATATGGCTTTTCAAATTCACTAAAGTTGACACATATTGATTTAAAGTTCCCTTAATAAAATACGTAGCAAAAATATAGAAATATCCATAAAGTTTTATTAAAAATTTGAAGAAATTTGGTTCCATTGTCTATAGTCAAGACTTGTCTAGTCAGTCTAGTCTATAGTCCAGTCTAGTCTATAGTCCAGTCTAGTCTATAGTCCAGTCTAGTCTATAGTCCAGTCTAGTCTATAGTCCAGTCTCGTCTATAGTCCAGTCTAGTCTATAGTCCAGTCTGGTCTATAGTTTAGTCTCGTCTATAGTCTAGTCTCGTCTATAGTCTAGTCTAGTCTCGTCTATAGTCTAGTCTAGTCTCGTCTATAGTCTAGTCTATAGTCTAGTCTATAGTCTAGTCTATAGTCTAGTCTATAGTCTAGTCTATAGTCTAGTCTATAGTCTAGTCTATAGTCTAGTCTATAGTCTAGTCTATAGTCTAGTCTATAGTCTAGTCTATAGTCGTCTATAGTCTAGTCTATAGTCTAGTCTATAGTCTAGTCTATAGTCTAGTCTATAGTCTAGTCTATAGTCTAGTCTATAGTCTAGTCTATAGTCTAGTCTATAGTCTAGTCTATAGTCTAGTCTATAGTCTAGTCTATAGTCTAGTCTATAGTCTAGTCTATAGTCTAGTCTATAGTCTATAGTCTATATAGTCTAGTCTATAGTCTAGTCTATAGTCTAGTCTATAGTCTAGTCTATAGTCTAGTCTATAGTCTAGTCTATAGTCTAGTCTATAGTCTAGTCTATAGTCTAGTCTATAGTCTAGTCTATAGTCTAGTCTATAGTCTAGTCTATAGTCTAGTCTATAGTCTAGTCTATAGTCTAGTCTATAGTCTAGTCTATAGTCTAGTCTATAGTCTAGTCTATAGTCTAGTCCAGGGGTCGGCAAACTTTTGAGTCGGAAGAGCCAAAATTTATAGTTTACAAAACATATGTTTTAAAAGAGCCACAAAATTGTTGTTTATTAAAACTTTACAAATACTTTATGAATTCATTTCAAAAACATAAAGTTGGTTTAATTATCTACAGGACATTCTGCAAGGAATCTTATAGATTTTTGACTACAAATACTTTTTGAATTTTTATGGGTCATTCGAATGCATTTTTTAAACACTCGTTATATAAATATAGAATGTTATTAGAGTAGGGCGACAGTGTTATCAATTAAAAGGTATTTGGAAACATATCAGGAAATGTAAAATTCACGAAAATTGATGACGCAGCTAATACAGTATAAAGTAATATATTAATTTGGCGGCAATCGAGATAAATATTTTACCAACCCCAATATTAGGTCCTTTTCAGAAAATGACTAACGATCATAATTGACTTAACAGTAGCAATATATGTTGTATATTTTGAATATAGAAATTCAAAATATACAACTTTTATAAGAACAAAAATCTATCTTCCAAATTTGATTTTAACGTTCATAACTGTCTTAATAATAGCAGTATTATGACAAAATTCAACACAAACATAACGTAAACATAATTGACCAATCCCCTTTTAAAAGGTCTACTTCGGAAAATAACTTTAACGTTCATAACTGATCTAATTAACGCTCATAACATGCTTAATAATACCAGCATAGTGGTGCAATTCGTCATAAACAAGTTTATAGGAACAAAAATATCTGTACCAAATTTAATAAGGATGGATTCAGAATTGACCCACCCATATAGTGTCCACTTTCGAAAACGACGAAAAATACAAGTATAGTGATGAAAATCAACACAAACAAGTAGGATCCAAAACTTCATTACCAAATTTTGTAAGGATGGGTCGGTCCATAATACGCTTTCTGGTACCTTATTTATAGCCAAAAATTGTATGTCAAAAATATATCAGTCTTTTATAGATCACTGTAAAACGTTTATAAAACGCGCAATATTTAAATATTGAAGTTTTTAAATAGAACAAGTTTTTAGTATTTACCCAGCAAAAACTCGGTAATGGGTTGTACTTCCATAACCACTTACTTTTCAATAACTACTACTTACCGTCTGCATTACTTAGAAGTACTCTAGTAATGACTTTCTTATAATCTGATATAGAAGTACTTTATTTTCGGCTTTGTCATTTTGTTTGCATATTTTATTTAATTGCGTTTTAAGAATTGTGTTTTACAAAAAAATAAAACAAAATTAATTTTGATTGTGAAAACCATTATTTGATGCGCAATAAAAAAGCTAAGGAGTGGTACAGTGTGTAGAACATTTGACTAAAAAATCGAAGTCCCTGGTTCGTATTCTAGCTGGATCTATTTATTATTAAAAAACAAAACAACTTACTCAACAACTGTTTTGTAAGAGAAATTGCAAGTACTTCTTTAACTTCCTATTGTAAGTACTTGCCTCCAATCACATCACGTGTTAAAATAATGACTTAAAATGCTAATGAAGAAGTAGTGAAAAGAAATTTTATTAGCTTTTTAACTCATTACTTTTCAATGTAAGTTTTTCCTGGGTAACTGTGTTCAAACTCTCTACATTATTAAGTAATTATTTAATTACTATATTTTCAATTTCCAAAAAATAGTTTATAATTCGAAAAACACGAAAATTTCGGAATGTATGATTATGTTTTACATTTTAATCTAATGGCACATCGTAAGAGCGCTCATGATACCCCATCGTTTATAGGGAACTTTTCAACTAAAAATTTAAATAATTAAAAATTTTCTTACAATACTAACTTGTACATGGAACAAATTCAATAGGAGAGATAGGTTTGTATAGCTTTAGAAAGTTTGGATCATAACGTGTTGTTTAAAGTTTCACAAACGACTCTAAACTTTCATTTGTTAGTTGTCTCACATACAGAACGATTAAACAAAGTTGAAATGTTGTGTATATTGCAGAAACGTTTGCAAATTGTTTTGTTAGTTTTAACAAACACTGCTCGTTAATCTATTCAGAAAGATATATATTTTTTATAAAATAAAAAAATTGCGTATGAAACTAAAGAGCCATAGCTCCACATCCAAAGAGCCGCATTTGGCTCGCGAGCCGTAGTTTGCCGACCCCTGGTCTAGTCTATAGTCTAGTCTATAGTCTAGTCTATAGTCTAGTCTATAGTCTAGTCTATAGTCTAGTCTATAGTCTAGTCTATAGTCTAGTCTATAGTCTAGTCTATAGTCTAGTCTAGTCTATAGTCTAGTCTATAGTCTAGTCTATTCTATAGTCTAGTCTATAGTCTAGTCTATAGTCTAGTCTATAGTCTAGTCTATAGTCATAGTCTATAGTCTAGTCTATAGTCTAGTCTATAGTCTAGTCTATAGTCTAGTCTATAGTCTAGTCTATAGTCTAGTCTATAGTCTGGGTCTATAGTCAAGGGTTTTAAGAATCTAGACGGGAAATATGCTGAATATTTAAGATGACGCGATCTTAGTCTATACGACGCCTCTAAATTCGATATTTATACCCTCTTAATATATGAAGTAGAATGAAATGAATCTGAAACAGTTGGTTATTTCAATCCCAAAAGTTCAGGACTAATTCCAATAGTCCCTTCCTCGTGCCAAGCATTAATGAATTGAAACTGTACTAACTACATAAATTATTTTCATTATAAATTAATTATTAATTTAAAAAATATTATTGGCGCCAGGTTTTTTCATCGCTTTATTATTGATTTATGTCAGTTTTGACATGTTATAATTATCATATATCAAGCGTTTAAGTATTTGACGACGTTTTGCACTGATAACGTAAATATTTTAATAGTTTTTTTTAAGAATTTTTATTTAGTCATATAAAAATTCGAAACAAATATAAGAGACATACTTGTCACGCTTATTGAGGTACTTCAAATTTTATTTATTTTACTAAATGCCGAACGAAGAGTCTATAAAGTAATTACAAGTGCTGACTTTAGAAGGAGTGTGCAGACAGTTTTATCAACCGGAAATAACTGTGTCGAAGAAACTTATATCTATTTAAAAGGTAAGTTGTAACACTATTGGAAAACCTATATAGGAACTTGGGCTTCTGATAATACAATTATGGGATATATTTTGAAGATTTTAAATAATGCTGAATCATTCTTAAATTAAACAATCATATTATGTTATTAAAATTTAAAGCTCAAAACTTTACTAATATTTATAATAGCACTACAATCTTATTAATGAATATTTAAAAAGAGTAGCATCTGATAGTTTTTGTTGATAAAGTCGAAAAAAAAAAACAAAATCCGCAAAAGAAATCAGGTGAGTTTATAAATGAATGATTATTATCTCATCATGTTTTAGTAAAGTTTTTTTTTTGCCAGCGTTCGACTAACTCGAACTATGTAGTACTAAACATATCAACAAAAAGTATTTACACGTGCCGCTAATTTCCGACTACATACCGATTTTTTTTTCCTCAACATCATGGCGATATCGTTTTTTTCATACAATATTTGCCAAAGTATGTCTGATGATGGCCTCTTAGAGTTTTGTTTTTGGGAATGACATACAAAAAAAAAAAAAAAAAAAAAATAAAAATAAGTATTTTTCACTTTAGTTTTCATTTCATTCTTTTCGTTTTACAACAAAATTTGGGGCCAAGCGTAGAATCTATATTGTACACTTGCGATAACAATTAAAAAATTATTATGGGAAAAAAATGAAATTTGTAATCTACATTTAGACACACAGACCGACAGACAGATAGACAGATAGACAACATAAATAATAATTATGTTAAACAATGATTTGCAGAATTTTTTAAGTATGTTAGGCATTTAATGAACAGAAATGTAAAATAAATCTACACTAAGAAAAATTTGCGGAAATTGTAAAAAGGTCGGAAATTGTAAAGATTATAATAAACAGGGGACTCCATATTCTAATAGAACTCAATTCTTGAGAGTTAGTCGAATCCAAAACTGTAATAAGTTTTGAGAAGCTCTCAGAAGTCGGATATGTATCCCCAGTAGCGAATAAACTCAGATCTTAATAATAAGTGGGAAATTCACTGGTTTTATCAATCAGCATTAATCGCTTTACTGGGTGATGCGGATCAGAAAAGGTAAATTTTTAATAACTCTTCGGATACATC